AAGAAAAAGAAAGAGAAACAAAAACCAGAAACCACAACAACCAAATGAAAATTCTGGAATTAAATTTACAGAATCTGAAATGTAAAAGTAACTGGATAGGTTTAGAGCAGAATGAAAATGACAGAGGAAAATATCAGTGAATGTAAAGATAGCCCAATAGAAATGATATGATCTGAAGATAAAAGATTAAAAGGATTGGTGAAGGACATGAAAAGAGACTTAAAGACTTGTGGGACAATATCAAAAGGGTTAATACACATAGAATTAGAATCTTAGAAGTAAAGAGATAGATAGAGTGGGAGGAATGGGGCAGAAAAAATATTTAAAGAAATAACAGCTGAAAAATTGCAAATCTGGTGAAAGACATACAATTACAGATACAAAAAGCTTAGCAAATACCAAGTAGGATGTATATGAAGAAAACCACTCCTTAGCATACAGTAGTCAAAGTCCTGAAAACCGAAGATCAATAGAAAGACCTTGAAAGTAGCTAGGGAAAAATGACATATAACAGACAGGGGAACGACAATTGAAATTATTATATTGTTGATTTTCATCAGAAATTTAAAGGCCAGAATAGAGCAGAACATTTATATATGACTAAAAGGAACCCCGCCCCCCGCAGACAAACACTGTCAACATAGAATTTTATATCCAATGGATATAGCCTTCAATAATAAAAGCAAAATAAAGACATTTTAAGGATAAAACAACTAAGAGAATTGATTGCCAGCAGAATTGTATTGTAAGAAATACTAAAGGAAGCTCTTCAAGCTGAAGGGAAATGACACAAGACAGAAACTTGAAGCTTCAGAATGAATAAAAAGTATTAGAAATGGTAAATATCCGGGCAAATAAAAATACTTTTTGCCTTTAATTTTTAAAGAAATACATATGATCGTTTGAAGTAAAAATTATAACATTGTCTCATGGACTTTATTAATGGATGTAAATATAATATGTTTAACAATTATAGCTTAAAGTTTGGGGAAGTAAATAGACCTATGTAGTTGCAATGTTTCTACATGTTATATGAAGTGATACAGTATTACTTGTAGGTATACTATGAAAAGTTAAGAATGTATATCATAATCGCAGCACAACTACTAAAGACAATGCACAGAAATAAGGCAGGAAAAGAACAGAGGAACAGAAAGCAGAGGTGGCAGTGAGTAAACAAATAATAAAATGGTAGGCATATGTCCAACACATCAATAATTACATTAAATGTTAATAGACTAGTACTCCAATTAAAAGGCAGATACTATAAGAATGAAAAGAAACAAGATCCAGCTATATACTATCTAAAGAGGATGCACTTTAAGTATAAATACCCAGGTTGAAAATAAGTGGACAGAAAGAGATATACCATGAAAACAATAAGAGTAAGAAAACTGGAGTGGCTACAGTGATATCAGATAATATGGACATCAAGGTAAAGATTATTACTAAAGGACATTTCATAATGATAAAATGGTCAATTCATCAAAGAGGCATAATAATCATAAATGTGTATATGCCTAATACTAATGCTTCGAAATATATAAAGCAAAAATTGATATAATTAAAAGAAGTAGATAATTCCACAATTATGCTAAGAGATTTTTAACATCCATTCCACAGCAATTGATAGACAAAAATTCAATAAATACATAAATAATTTAAAGCTAATTGTTACTTATAGAACAGTACATCCAACATCTAAACAACAGACATTCTTTCCAAGTACATATAGTATCAAGGTAGATCACACATAATGGGCTATAATAATTTAAAAAAACACTTCTAAATAATTCATGGGTCAAAGAAAAAATGAGAAAGGAAATTAGAAAATACTAAAATATTTTGAATTTCAATCCCAATTTGGCACATAAAATATGCATGACCTTGAATAACCGATTTGGATTGCTGACTGTCAGTTTCTTCATCAAATAAAGTGGAGATATTAACCCTCATAGGATTTTTGAGAAGATTAAATAACATAGGTAAAGCACTCTTCACAACTCCTGGCATAATCATGATCCTTGATGTCATTGTCTGTACTGTAAACCGTTACTGAGGGTGTGTAGGTACAACTATGAGGTCTCCTGTCACTTCCATCATTCTGTCTTTGAATGCTACCCAAGGAGACCAAGCTACATCATTCTTCTCTTTAAATTTCTTTGTTGATCGACTTTCCCACCATATCTAATTTAATTTTTATCTCCTAATTATGTAACACTACTGAGAGCCAGGTTATGTGAATACAGAGTACTATCACTTGGATACCTATCTTGAGTTGAGGAGAATGCGTCCATCCCCAGGGCCCCCTCATCCAGCCTGGGTTTCTGAGTGCCCCTAGTGCAGTTGTTGAAGAGGTACCAGTGACCCATCTCCTAAAACTTGTGATTTAAGATTTAGAGCTCATCACACTGGCCTTCCATTTCCCACATATCAAAAACCATTACTCTCTTCTATTTTTCTTCCTAATGCATTGTAAAACCTCAGCAGTGATTTTCATGTCTCTGTTTCTTAAAGTATCTCCTTTTAGACACGTGTAATAATAACTACCTCACAGGAGCAGGGGTGTCTAATTAATTACTGTTTGTCAAAAGCTTTAGGATCGTCAGCTGGAAAGGGGATTGTGGACGCACACAGTATTATCTCGGAGAGCCCTGCATCTTGCTGTATCGAATGGAGCAGTGTATAATCAAATTAACTACACTGCTAGGAGCTTATGCTGTAATTAATGAAACCCATGCAGAGTGAATGAAGTGATCAGTCTATTATTTTTAGATTGAATAATTAAGCCTGAAGAGCTTCAGTGATATTTTCCAGTAGCTTCGTTTTTCCTCTGGCTATTGACATTTTGGCTCTCAATCTCACTTTATCGTGTCAACTACCCTTGTGTCAATTTCTCTCATGTTGTGCAGAATTCATTATAATACAAAAAAATGTTGAATCTCTACAAGTTTATATTTTAAAGAGAACTAAGGCCTATTTTAAAAACAAACTCAACATGATAAAAAGGGAAGGGAATTACACATACTTAATGAAGGGCCTGCACTGTGTCAGTTACTGTGTGGGCACCTTACAGATGGGTCCTCATTTGATTTTTCCCCAACCACACAGTGAAGCTAGTATAGTACCCATTTTATGGATGAGGAAACAAGCTCTTAGTTTATTTTGCCTCCCTAGTAAGCAAGTAGCAGAACCAGTATTTGAACCCAAGCCTCTCTGATTCTAAAACTCACACTCTTTCCACAAGTAGCAGAGTCCTGTGTCTGTGCACCGTGCAAGAGAGTGTGTCGTTTTGAGCCAGGGTGACACATACCTTCAGGGTCTTGTTGTGTCTCTGCAGCTCCCGGCACAGACTCTCCAGTTTGCTGCGAGCGAGGATAGCTCTGCTGTGTTCACTTTGTAACTGGTCCTTTTCTTTTTGGATTTGTGCCTGTTTCTTTTGTAGGAGCTTTAACTTCTTTTGCTCAGTGCGATGTTCATCCAGCTAGACACAGAGGTGCAAACGTGAAAGAAAATGGCAGGAATCTCTTTGGAGTTGATAGAACACAAGCAAAACCCAAAGATCACTCAATGGTTGTTTGGATACATTTTTTTTCTTTTTTCTTTTTGCCATTATCTGTCCCCTCTGAAAGTAAGTGAACTTCATGAATGTCATCTTTGTTGTACTAGTAGATACAGTTTTTAAAGCATAACTCTTATAGGTTTTCATTTTTATTATTAATCTCCTCTCACTTCAATCTTTTTTGGGGGTGATCTGTAAATATTTTTCTTGAGTCTATCTAACAATGCCAGCCAATATGGGAAAGCATGTCTCAGAATTTGTAAACTGCCAGCATTCATGACAATACCTTGCACAAGGCAATAGTCAATAGTTTGTCTGCTTGGGTTACCTTTATTTCTCATAATTCTTTCCCAAAACAAGATTATAGTACTGTTTTTATCTTTATTTTTTTACTGTATTTCACAATATTACGGGGATACAAACGTTTTGATTACATGTTTTGCTTTTTGTGCGGTTCGAGTCAAAGTTATAAGTGTGCTCATCACCAAGGTAGTGTGCATTGTGCCTGTTGGGTATAAATTTACCTGTCTCCTCCACCCCCTCTGACCTATTTGGTTTCCACTGAGTTTTACTACCATATGTGCACATGGGTATTGATCAATTAGTTTTAATTTAATAGTGAGTACGTGTGGTGTTTGTTTTTCCATTCTTACAATACCTCACTTGGAAGAATGGTCTCTAGTTCCATCCAGGTTGTTACAAAAGCTATCAGTTCACCTTTTTTATGGCTGTGTAGTACTCCATAGTATGCCACATTTTATTAATCCACTCATGTATTAATGGGTTGAATCAACTTGGGTTGATTCCACATTTTTGTGATTGTGAATGATGCTGCAATAAACATTTGAGTGCATGTGTTTTTATAGCACTATTTTTAACAATAGGAAAGAGAAAAAGCAGCATCCTGGTAAACAGAAGATGAAGTCCTCTTCTTTAAAATTTTGGGCTCTGGGTGTGGATTATTTGGGTGCAGATTGTTTGGGTGTGGAAAAAGAGGAGAAGAAAAAGTACCCTTCCACTACCTAAGCATTGATAGGTTTTCACCAAAGTATCAGAAATAGCCACTGCATAACTAAACAGTATGAATGGCAAATATCTGTGACATGCCCTGCACCCTGCCCACCTCCACCCGCTCTGTGCTTATAGGGAATAAATCATGATGCTGGTTCCTGCCGAGCCTAGGTGAGCTCTTCTCACATCCTTCCAGCAGCCCCGACTAAAGCACTGTATCAGGGATGGTGTGGAAAATGAAACCAATTTACCACTTACTTTCTACCTCGGGATGTTAAAGTTCTAGGGGAGGATTGCCAGATTAAATACAGAACACCAGTTACATTTAAATTTCAGATAAATAAGAAATAATTTTTTGTGTGTGTAAGTATATTCCAGATATTTCATGGGACATATTTTTACCAAAAAATTATCTGTTGTTTATCTGACACGTAAAGTGAGTGTGTGTATTTTCATGTATTAAATCTGGCTATGTTATTATGGGCCCCTAGAGCCTGGGTGGGGAGAGTGGGGATCTCCTTGCAGGTGCTCCTGGGGCCTCACAGAGCCACATGGATACCTGCACCACATGAGCCCAGACATGGGTCTCGGTTTCCTGGTTTTGTAAAAGCATTTGTTCTTTCTGAGCTAGATGAACAGGACTGTCACAGGTTCTTTAGTTCACATCTTGTTTCACTCCTTTCCTCCCTCCTTCCTGCCACACGGAGATAATGATTATAAACCCCTGCCAGATTAAGCTAAGGATATGCATATATGATATTCTATCTTCATAGTTATGTGCAGTTTCTACTTATTAGTGGGAATTAGCGTTGGAAAAAACAAGACCCATGTCACTAAAAATATTGATTGACATTGATATCGTCCTTGGAAAATCAGTGATATTTTCTTTTATATTTCTCATGCTAAATTCCTGTTCATAAGATAGATGTGATCCTTTCATTTTGCACCACAGTTATTAGATAGGGGTGAAATTTCTCATGCTTATATTTGGATTTTAAATGACCTATTGTCCTTTCTTGAAGTTTATATATTGTTATTATTTTTGTTACCATTATGGCTTAGACTTAACCTTTTAAAGATGAAACCATATGTCTGGGCTTCTCAATTTCAGCACTATTGACATTTTGGACCAGATAATTTTTTGTTGTGGGCACTGTCCTGTGCATTGTAGGCTGTTTAGCATCTCTGGTCCCTACCCACTATATGCCAGTAGCACCACCCAATTATGACATCCCCAAATACCTCCAGACATGCCTATTGTCCCCTGTTTGGGGAACATTGTCCTATGTGGCTTTCTCTGAATACTCTACACGTGTCTTATAAGTTGGAAGAAAGATGATTTGTGCTTGCTCATTGGCCATTCAATGTTTCAGTTTTACTGCAAGATCATGCACATTTAGAATTTAGCTAGGTCTACCTTGCTTTGCTCTAAAATAAAAACCCGTAACTTTCTGACTTTGTTTTAAGTGTTTGGATAATTTTGTTCAAATACTTCACGCCCATGTGAATGCATATGAATGCATGGAGTTTCTTAATGAATGAAAGCAAACATGTTGCAAATGAGTCAACTTTGGTCAAATGCTGGCTTTGCAATTTAATAATGCACACATGTAGGCCTTGTTCTTCTGTACAATTGTGACAGGAATATAGGATTTGTATCTGCAATTTGTCTTGTTCATGCTTTCTTTTTTACTAAGTTAAAAAAGTAAAATTAATGCCAAGTGCCAAATTAAAATCATATTAGTGATGTTTTAACTACATAAAAATTGAGGAAATTTGCAAAAAATATCTCTCCCAGGCCATTTCTTAATTTAATCATGAGGTGTCCTTATTTATTAATGAACTTATCCTTATTTATTAATGAATACAATGGCAGATAGTATTACAGGATTCAGACTCTGCAAGGATGAGTGAGCTGGAGTGGCAGTTTAATTCACAGCTTTGAATTTGATGATTTATTCCATATGAACATTTATATTTCACACATTTTCTATATTAATGTCCAAATCAGTGGGCAAGGAAATAGGCTTTAGTCTCCAAGTAAAAAATTAAAATTCCTCGTAATTTTTCTTTTCTGAAAAGGAAATGTAATGGGTTTTTTGGCTCAATTTTCTCCTATTCATTTTTTCTAGAATGATCTTTTAAGTTTAAAATCATTTTATAGGAGATGATATAAATGCCAAAGTTTAGGAAGTAAGGCTTGAATTGAGTAGAGTCTCTAAAAAAAATAACCTCTGCCGGGGAGACTGCTTGGCTATAGGACAAATAGGTGCAGGGTGTTTCCTGAGCCCAGGAACAGTCCCAGCTCATGGAGAAAGTCTTGGTCAGACTGGAGAAGTGATTCGTCTCCAATATACTGCTGTGGGACCACAGCGCTGTAAACTGCTTTCTGTGCTAGTCTAGAATGCTGCCCCGTCCAGCCAAGTATAGAACATGGCATTGGAAACTAAACATGAATGGCCTCGGTAATTGAAGTGGCAAAGGAAAAAGGACATGGAATATACTAAAAACAGCAAGGATGGATAGGTGAGAGTAGGATGGAAAGGTGGAAGTGGGGACTAAAGTTTCAAGGGGGGATGTTATTTTTGACACCTAACAGTTGATGGTATTGAAATGGTTACTGACCAATGCTATACAAGTTGCGATAAAATTGATACTCCGACAATTGTTTTGTAAATTTCTACCAGTCTGTTGGAAAGCAATATGGCCATAAAGTTTAAAACCAAAGAGCATTCATCTTGTTTGATTTAGTAATCCCATTTCTGGGTTTTTTTCTTAAAATCATAAAAACAAAGGACAAGGAATAAATCTCATGCATGATGATGTTCATTGCAGCAATATCTGGTAAAGCAAAACAGTGGGAGGAATCTAAATGTCTCCAAATTAGTGGATCAGTAGACATAGCCACTTAATGGAATATGACACCACTTTTATAAAATATAAAGACTACAAGTTACATGGGAAAATGTCTATCATATGAACCAAGAAAATCAGATACCAACTTATATGTACCTTATGACTGCAATTATAATAAAAAGTATCTCTGCATATGTAGTAGAACTGGAAAAAATGCATAAAACAAAGTTTGTGTTTTAGATGATGGGATTAGGGATATTTTTGTTTGTTTTATGTATTCAGCATTATTATATCATCATGTTGTGGTTTATGTGGTTAAAAGTAATTAAAAAGTACTGTAGGCAGAGTTAAGCAATCAGCCAGTCACTTAAAGTTTCAGAATTTTCTGGGTCTATTGCATGACAATTCAGCATAATGGGATGTGTCAAGGTGGAAGTAAAGAACAAATAAAGATCACAGGACTAAAGTCAGAGTGAAAAATAAAGAAAACAAGGCACTCACTAAAGTCTCCTCCATACAATAGGGATGAAGGGTTTGTGGGCCTGAAGCTTATTCAGTTTTGGAGGCCCTCTTAAAAACAAAAATAATCCGGTCCAGGGCCTCCTAGGGGCCCATGAAAGTGAGAGGCTCCCAAGGTTTAAGCTTTTTCAGCTTCAGTGATCAATGTGTTCACTGGGGGGAGTTCAACCTACTGCCTGGAGGAATATTTTTGCTATGTGTAGTCTTAAGCTTCGTTCACCTGTCACTGTTTCTCCAAAAGCAATAAGTAAGTGAAAAAAAATTTTAAGAAAAGAAGCAGAATTAAAAGAGAAGGCCATTGCCTAGCTTTCCTGAGAAGATGCTGCTTCTCAGCTGTGGGTCTCATCATCTGTGGGTTTTATAATCTGCAGGATCAGCTCAGACATCGCTATTTTTGGTTCAGTCTCAGATCAGCAGGTGCTTTTAAGGGTTCGTTGAAACTAGAGATGCTGGTCTCATGAAGCCCTCTCCTTTTCTCCAACTGGCCAATTCTAGAGTGCTGGTAAGGAGAAAGTCCACTTCAAACATTCTCTGATGGTTGGGAGTGGCTTCCCTTGCTCTCAGTGTCCCTAATTTATTGAGAGGCAGGCTGCATGGGGGTATCTAGAACCAGGCACAAAACAATCCACATGGAACACTTTGCCATGTAGGCAAGAGGTAGAAGGATGTGGATCACAGGAATGAATAAATATATAAACGGGGCAGACAAGACAAGAATGTACGATGAGCTGAGGGTGGCGTTGACTCGCCCCTTTCATTCCTTCCTTTGTGCCCCTCAAAAAACCTGGGTATAAGAACTGAACAAAAGTTTGAAGATTTATCTTTATGTAAAGTGTATTTCTGTTTTATTGCAAAGCAAATAGAACTTCAAAATCTCCACAATTTTCAATCATCTACACTTCACTCTCCCATCCCCCCAAATTACACACATAATTGAAGGTGGAGTCAACTCCAATTCTATCCGCTGTCTTCCTTTTGCTGTTATTTTTCAGGTTTTCTTTTCCTTAAAAAATTCTTCTTTTATAAATTCTAGCTTGGGCTTGTTTGAGGTTACCAGCCAAGTTATATAATGATGTACATAAAAACTAAGTCTCCTTTTCTCAGCTCTAACTGGAGCCTGAATCCTTCTGACAAAGGGAGCTAATCAAAAATCTTACCAATTCAGCATACTTCTTGAATAAAAAATCAAGCTTTTCTTCAGGTGTTTGCAACTTGTTCAGATTTTGCATTAGCAGGTTGGCTTCTTTGCCTTAAAAAAAAAAAAAAAGACATTTGAAAAAAGTAAGTGTTGAACTTGCAGTCAAGTGATAAGGGCTGAAGTCTCAGATTAAACTACTTGCTAATTATTACCAACCTTGGCCAAGCCACTAACCTATCAGATATAATTTTCTTCTTATGTAAAAAGGATGACACCTACCTTGCAGAGTAACTGCAGATTAGTGAGAAGTTTGTGAAAATGTGTGGTACGGTGTCAGGTTCATGGTAGCCTCTCAGTTAATGTCTGCTATAACAGTAGTCCCCAAATTTTCAACCCAAGAACCCATTCTTGTTACTTCCCCTCTGTATTCTTAATAACCAAAATAATTTATTTATGGAAGAATAAATCATGCATTTTCACACTTTAATTAACAAAAAAAAGCAAAACAGCCAATCAAAATTTCTGACTAGTAGGAAATGGCCAGGGTTGATACATGGAATTGCTATGATTCCAGCCAAAAGCAGAGAAATGGGATGGTGTAGTCTGCCCAGTTTTTTCCTGTGGTTTTTGTTCTTTTGGTATCTCTTTTTGGATGAACCAATTCTCTCTTTTCTGTGTGTAAACCCATCCCATGAAGTTTGGATGGAAATAACTCTGATCATATTTCCTACCAAGCAGAGAATAAAATCAATAAAGAATGAAAACAGAGCCAAGACATGCAGGGCCTTTCCAAGGGCCTTTTTGTGACTCTGTGATATGATGCTGGACTCGGCCTTCCCGGACCTGCCTCTCTCCCAACCAGGCCTTGATCTCTGTTAGCAGTTTCATTTTCTGTTCCCAGTTGGAGTTTATGCTACTCTTAAAAATTCATCTGTTCGTGGTTCTTTCTTCCTCAGGTTCTTTCTTTTCTTTCTCCATTGTTCTTCCTTTTGTAATTTTCAGGCCAAAGGCCCCATTTACCTTTCTGCAGATGCCTGGAAATCTTCAATCAACCAGTGGGGCAGAGTGTCTGGAGGGAGGAGTGGGACACTGAGGCCTATGTTTACCGTTAAGTCTATTTTTGCAAACAGTCCAAGCAAGGTGGAGCATCTTTCCCATCCTCACCTATCTGTGAAACCACTCTGCTGAATCAGAGTAGGGAGAGCAAGCCACACAATAGAGCCTGTTTCCTGCTATATATCTACTTAAGAATATTAACAACTTTGACAACCTTTCCCCCAAAAACAGACACTTCCCCTTGGCTAAAATATTTTCTTTCATCCTGAAGATGCAAATATATCATGGAATTAGGGTTTCCAGATAAATTATAGAGCATAGGACATACTTGTACTAAAAAACTATTTGTTATTTACCTGAAATTCAAATTGTTTCGGGTATCCTGTATTTTTATTTGCTAATCTGACAACCTTACATGGAATCAAAGAATTTTAGGTCTAGAAGGAACTTCAAAGAGCATCCAGACTAAATGGTTAATTTTACAGATTAAGTATCTAAAGCCCAGAAAAGTCCAAAGTTACATGATTAGCGCTGGCAGAGCCACGGCTTAAATCCAAGGCTAGTCTACTTGTTCTAAACCACTCCATTCTCATGTGAAAGTGTGATGCCAAGGAAACCTAGGGAAATAAAAGAGAACTGTTTTTTTTAAATGACCTCATTTCTAACAGTTTTGTCTATCTTTGCCCCATGAGTCAGCTCAGATTAGAGACATGGCCTGAAGCAGGGGGAAGGTGGGTGTGAGCGGGGTCCTCTCAGCTCTCCAGTCATGGCCTGTGGCACAATGTGGGGCCCTTTGCAGCTGATAATCGTGCTGTCCCCACCCCTACCAGGCATGTGCTTCGAGTTATTCCTCTGGCAGCAGGGATGGATTTGCGTTGGTCAGACCATCCCGTCACCCTTGTCTTCAGTCTGGGGAAGGTGCCCACATGAAGGCCACTGTCTTGAGTGTCATCTGTCAAAGGCAAGAGACTGTGCTGTAGATCAGTCTTGGCCCAGGTCCCACCTGGTGTTTGGATCATGGCAAGTGCTCAGGAAATGCTGATATGAGCAGAATAAAACAAAGTCAACTAACCAAACTGGTATCATGTGAGTCAAAGGAACACTGTCCAGAAAACTGCTTTGTCACTGACTAGAGGAAAGATAAGCCTTAATCTCACCTGTGGCGTTTAACGTATGCTGGGACACCTCTCAGTGTGAATGCTGACATGCAACACCATTACACGTCTTGTTAGGGGGAGATAGAAACAGCTGAGTGAGTCCAGTGGTTCTCTCTTTCTTCCCACATTAAGTATGCTTAGGTTTTGTTTTCTGTAACAGTGAGGAGTTTTGTTTTGTTTTTTAATCTTTACACTCACTACGGTCTCTTTTTGCTCTAAATAGTCTGTCATTTTGTACAGAAGGTGTTAAAGTTCAGATGCATCGATATACCTTTAAAAATTATTTCTTCCTTCAACAAAAAATCCAAGGAATTGGAGGCAAGCCTGTGCAGAGCTCATAGATTTGTGACACCAGAGACCTAAGTTTTAAACTTCCATTGGTTTTGTTGGACTAGGGAGCTGTGTGGGACAGTTGTGGGGAGGAGAATAGAGAGAGACGTGCTCATCTTCTAAGAAAGGGTATCATTACATCTCCACGGAAACAGGGTCATTTGGTGACAGTGTCAGACACAAGAGGAAGAGCTGACTTTATTCAGGGATATTTTATCAGGAGGAGATCTCTTGCCTTCTCCCTTCTGTGTGATTCTAAAGTAAGCTTCATTTCTTCCCTGTGAAAGCTGGGGAGGTCATGTGGTGGTCATGTGGCCACCACACTGCAAAATGCTCAGTTTGGAAGGAAGTCTACATGAAAGTAGAACCAGCTGTACAGCAAGAACAGCAGTGTCACATATGGCTGTGGTCACTGGCACAGTCGTATTGGAATATGAAGGAATGATTTTCACATGAAAGAAATTAAAAACCTTAAATTAAAAGACAACTAAACCAGCTGTAGAAATGTGGACCAGGATTTTTCTTGAACTTTCAGCAGAGTAATGATGAGATTGGTGACAATTTATGCAGATTTAATGTGTTCAAAACTATGCTTTTTCTCTTCCAGAATTATTTTCTACAACTCTAAAATTTGGTCTCGAATACACACCTGCGTACCTCTCTATTCTCTTCTCAATTTCTATGTGTTGTGGCAGAAGCTTAAAGCTGGAAAGATTATAAATGTCCTCTTTCAAACGTTAGACCCAAATTCATATTTCGATGTTAATTTTGTTTTCCCTCTAATATGATTAAAAATAATGAGTATCAGACAAATAATTTCATGAGCATCTATAGATGTATTTTAAGGGAAATAAGATTAATGTATGTAAGGTAGGAAGTATATCATTAAATTCACACTGGTTTAAGGCTAGGAAACCTAGGTTCTAGAAGTGACACTGCCATCAACTCATTGAGTAAGCTTTTTTGAAGACTCTTAAACTCTCTGGCCTAAGTTTCCCTGTCTAAATAGATTCTGAGTTTAGCTTTTATGATTTGGTGATTACACAACTGAAATAGCTTTAACCAGTTTTAGCTTGATTTAGATAACAAAAAAACAAAAGCATCATTGTTTGGATGGTATATTTATGAATGTTTCAATATACTTTTTAAATATATAAAGATTCTCTTACCCCTCACTGTCACCTCTCATTGTCATGGTTTTTGTTTGGTTGTTTTACTTGGTTTTAATGCCTCTGTCAGTTCAGAAAATACTACCCTGCCTCCGTTTTCTAGTCACATTGTTATTTCACTTGGCTGACATTCTATATCTCTTGTATTTTAGTGACCTTGTTATATTTGTATTTGGAACTTTGGCCTCTTACGCAGTTGGGGAGTGGACGTGGACTTCTCATTAGATCAACTGATGGTGGGTTTAAATGATTAGCAATAATAAAAAATAGCAGAAAAAGCAGTAAAATATTCACCTATCCATTCCCTACCCTGGTCAGAGAAGAGCACTAGTCATTTTGCTCAAGAGATATTTTTCTCTCCCCTCCCATCTGCTTCTCTAAACCCTCCTCTGCTGTCAGGATCTGGCCTAAGCCCTAGCCTCCCTGTGAATCTACTCATGGACTTTTACAGCTTTGCTGACTCCTCTTTCTCTTGAATTCCTCGGATCTCCTTCCATCTCCTGCAGAAAGTTTAGCATTTGTATCAAAGCAATAGGTTATTGGTCTCTCAGCATAACTAGAAATCCAGCTAAAATGGATGAAACAGACCATCTGGGAAAGTGACCACTTGAAGGAAGACTAAATAAATGGGTGTCTGAAGACATTTCAGAATACCGACGTCCTGGTCAAGGGCCTCTCAGAAGATACAACTGAAACTCTTCTATACCTAGAAAGACAAAATCCACTAACTAAGCCATCATAAATGCTCCTCAACCTATACACTGCTTGTTTCTATACACCTTTGGTCCTGCAGTGTCAGTGACATGAGGTCTGCCCCTTGCTTTCTTTATGACTAATCTTGCAATCACATCAACTGGTGGAGTGACCTTTTGTGGCAGCCTCAACTCCCTGGGCTTCAATTTCCCTGTCTATAAAATTAATGGGTTGACTAGATGGAAGCTGAGCTCAGAATAGACCTGCGGATCAGCTTTGTTTTCCTCCCAGGCTTGATGCTTCAAATCTATGATTTCCTATTCAATCAGTTACAGTCTAAATATCAAAAGGTGTATTATATTTTATCTTTGTTTTGTGTTCATTATCATGTGGTGCTTGTGCAGCCCACATAATGTTGTCAAAGAAGGATTAATAAGACACGTGTGAGCCTGGAGCATGGTGGTGGGAGAAGCAAGGGGGATACTTTAGATGTTAACAGGACATGTCATGGTGCTGAACAATGGGAAATCTGGTTTTGTTTCTTTCAGTTAAGATGCCAAGAAGAAAGTGAATCTACCAGCTAACGAGATTTTAAAATGTTCCCCCAACTACTCCAGTATATAGCATGTTGATTGTGGGAGAATAGGCAGCCTCAAAAGGAAAAACAAGTCCTGAGTGCTTGGGTTGTAGAGACATTGCCCAGATATTCAAGGTCTTCTGTGAAAGGAGTCTCATTGGTGTAATATGTTTAGAAAATAATGAAAACTATGTCCTTCATTATTTGAGATTTTCATTATATACCCATACATACACACACACACACACGCACACACACACACACATAGATACACACACACACAAACATATATATGTAAAGTAGAGAATTCTGGCAGTAACTGTTTAACTTTGAAACACTAGAGTGATTCCAACGTTGCATTTTGGAACTTGAAAATACTTTAAAGGTATTATCTGGGTTATTTTGATTTTTATGTTAGGAGGGGTCAAGTATGCTATTTGAATATGTCATTTAGCCCTCTTGAAAGAGTTGTAGCAATGAGTTTTAAGCATCATAGTGACATCTGTAGGAAAATAGCCTGTTGCGTGGCAAGAATGATGCCATCTAGAACAAAAAGCACCATGATGACCAAAGTTTGACTCCTGCGTATGAAGGTGTTTGCAACAGGGTCTTTAAACAATGTCTGTAGCATAGATAACCCCTACAGATGCTTATCTAACCTCCCCAGTGGTCATGAGTTTCAGCAAGGTCTGAGACATGAGCAGCTGCACGTGTCTGTACCCTAAAACTTGCTACATAAAGGATGGTTTCTAGAGGGCTGGTGTGGGGATACACTGTCTTGCGGCCACCTGAGACACCATTTCTGTTTGTAAGTCCTTATTAAATATTTCTTCCTGAGAAATTGTATTTGTCAACCTCTTTTTTTGGATTCTCAGCTCCCTTAGCCCTTGGCCCTTGGGGGTAGGTTTGCATAGACCTGCTCACCGCAGAACAATATCCTACTCAAGTATAGACATACTTCTGGGATTACAGATTATCTGTTACTGGAGTTTGGATCCAGTTCTGACTTCGATGCCCATGAACTTTCACTCTACCCCACTGTCTTCCAGAAATAAATAATTCGTGAGCACTGCCCTTGATAGATTCCTCATCTAGCATGGGAGGAATATAAACAAATGATTGCTAAATTAAAAAAAAAATTAATGGAGAACTAAGGAAGGTGATGCTAGCTCTACTTGGACATGCCAGGGAAAGTATCACATAAGAGGTGGTATTTGTAGTGAGTGTTTCCACCAGGGAAGACAAGCAGAGGAACTTTCTCTTGTGCAGTAACATGCTTTCACTGACAGCTTAAAAAAATCAACCTTCTCACCCTTCTTTAACAACCATTGTTGGTGCTGCCAATTCCCCATGATCTTCTAAAAATTTTCCTGTGCCTGTTCTTTTGCTTATTCTATTTAACAATTAGTTTACAAGCCTGCTTTTTTCTCTATACCTAGAGCTCCCTGACCAAAGGGTCATGACTTACTTATCTTTGTGTACCTAGCACAGTGCCTCATAAAGACTAGGAATTAATAAATATTCACTGGAGATGGGGGAGTAGGTAGAGATTTCTAGGTAGAGAAAATAAGATGTGCACAGCCCTTGTGCGGATGAAGCTTAGCATAATCAAAGACCAGAAGGAGATCAGAATGACTAGCTATTAGGCAGTAGTAGCGGTGGCGGTAATCGTGGCAGAGTGTTCAGGCAGGGGATGTTCTGGAGTGGAGTGATGTGACGTAAAACTGGAACTGGTTGGGAGTAGACCATTAGGAACTCAAAGAACATGTTAAGAATTTTGGTCTTCATCCTAAGAGCCCTGGGAAGCCACTGGGACAGGGGGTAGATGGGTAACATGTTGAAAAGTTCACCCGAACCCTATGGAGGGGAAGGGGCTTGAGACAAGAACAGCAAGAGGAAATACAGGGAGACTTTGAAGGTGGCTGTTATAGTAATTCAGATGTTAGACGTGGCTTTTAGTAAAGTTTGCAAGAAGTGCCCCTTTTAGGGAACAATTCACACAAAAAAGTCATATATTAGAAGATAACTACTTGCCTAATCCTTTCAGCATTTTCTTTTCCAATTTTTGCTCTTTGTTGCTGATGGGCTCTTTCACTGTGTGTGGCTCTCTGGGAGCAACTGGGTCTTTTTCAGCCTCTTCATTGGTTTCTTCACAGTCCACATCCTCATTGTCAGGTGATTCTGCAATATCAGGCCGCTCCTGGGCCTTGGCAGGGCCCTCTTCCCCAGCGGTACTGGCAGCAGGGCCATACGTGTTTATGATGTCTTCCAGCTGTCGATTCAACTCTTCAGAGATATCGGGGTGCCCGCTTGCCTCTTTTCCTGGTGCGTGGAGTGGAGTTGAGGAATCCTGACCACTGTCCTTCTCCAGGCCATTTTGACTGGGTGATGATGAACTGTCTCCTGGGGAGGTTGCCTCTGGCTCTGCTGGGAGCTGTTCACAGTGATTATTCTCCATGCTGGGAGTAGTATCTAGTGGTAAGCACAGTTAGGTTTTCTGTAGTTAACCCAGTTGCATATTAATGGTAAGGATATCCCCCAAATGGATACCAACTAATTATGTTTTTTTTTTTAACATAGAATGAATGCACTTTCACAAACCATTGTTATTACATTAGTAAGGGAGGAACGGTAGGAAGCCATTTTTCCAAATCAAGTCACACTAC